GTGTTCATCTATGCCACATTTAGCCTGTGGTTTCTTTATGTATTTCTGTTTATTTTCATCTTTATGCATATTCTCATAGTTTCTAGATCACTAGAGGCTATCCTTTTAAATTTTATTTTTACTTATGTGTGTAGATGTAATTCAGTGTAGATGTAGCCAACGGTTTTATCAGATAAAAAACACAGAGCCGATTCAGAAAAGAAAGCCAAGAGGTCAGAGCCAAGAGCCTCACCCTTCCTGATTCAGGGATCCTCCTCAGCCAAGAGAGAACTCCGAAAGAGGAGCCCTCCTTCCTGTGTGTCTGTCTCTATCTCTCTGTTCTGGCTTCTGATTGGTTGTAAACCCAATCATGTGACTGCCTCGTCACTGCCTGTATGTACCGCCCTCCAGGTCCTTAAAGGCGTACGCCACCACTGCCACGCACTTGCTATGGCTCTAATAGCTCTGATCCCCAGGCAACTTTATTTAAAATACCACCACATATGTGTACGGTTATTTCTTTGTATGGATATGTATACATGAATGTGAGTGCCCCCAGAAGTGAGAAGGACATTGGATTCCTTGGAATTGGAGTTACAGGCAGTTGTGAGCCCTCTGTGTAGGTGCTGGGAACTGAACCTGGAAGAAAAATATGCTTTCTTAAGTGTTGAGCCATCTCTCCAACCTCCAGTAGTGTCTTATAGTTTAGATGAAGCTGGCCTTAAATTTAAATTCTCAGGCTTCTTTAACTACTCAAGTATAGAGATGGCATTAGGTATGTACCACCACATTCAGCACTGAAGATTCATTTAATTTTATTATGTGTATGAGTGTTGCCTGCGTATGTCTGGGTACCAGGTACGTGCCTGGCATTCTGGAGACCAGTAGAGGTTATCAGATCACTGAAACATTTCTCCAGCCCTCTGATGCTTTTAAATACTTCTGCTAGTATTTTTTTTTTAAAGATAGCAGTAGATCTTCTTTTTTTTTGATTTATTTATTTATTATGCAGTATTCTATCTGTATGTATGCTTAGATTTATTTATTTATTTATTATGCAGTATTTGCATGTATGCTTTGATTGATTGATTGATTGATTGATTGATTGATTGATTGATTGATTATGCAGTATTCTATCTGCATGTATGCCTGCACACCAAAAGGGGGCACCAGATCTCATTAGGTGGTTGTGAGCCACCATGTGGTTGCTGGGAATTGAACTCAGGACCGCTGAAAGAGCAGTCAGTGCTCTTAACCTCTGAGCCATCTCTCCAGCACCTGCTAGTATGTTGAAGTTAACATGCTCATTCGCTTTCTTTCTTTATCCTCTCTTAAATTCTGTAATGTGCTTCTATGAGACAGGATTTTGTGAAAGTTTTTCTGTGTCTACTGCCTGTGTCCTATCTTTTCCCTTAACATTTGCTAGTAGTGTTTGTTTCATACTATTTTCTGATTATTTGAGAGGGGGAAAGAGAGGGAGAGATGGGAGGAGGATGAGAATATATCCTTCCATAAAATACTTATTTTGCCATATTAGCCTTCTTCCCATGCTCCTCTACCTCCACCCATATGTCCTGGCTTCTCTGGTATTTTACTCTATGGTGAATTTTTTCATGGATATTTGGCTATTTTTAAATAATGCTATAGCATTCTGTTTATATTCATTTTATATGTCTTTATTTTCTTTCATGAATTAAATACTGATAATAGATTGTTGAGTTAGTATTTCTCAATTGATAATTGCCTGACTATATAGGTTTGTTTTAATAATTTAAATGAGATTTTCTGTTTTCCTACCCTTTAGTCACACTAGCTATTACCAGATTATAGTTTTACCACTTCCATGGCCAAAAAAATATCAATCTTTGTAAAATTTCCATTTTCTTATGATTTACATTTTAGAACAGGACAGATTTTTTAAAAATATGTACTCTTTCTTAAGCTAGGGATGATGAATGTTGATGAGGACAGGGACTTGATGCCAAGAGTGGGGTGGAACATAGCTGGCATCTCTGGATCAGGACAGTACATTACATGAAGAATGAGCAGGATACATGTTATTTATTCGTATTTAATGGAAACTTGTTCTTTGAAAAGTATCTGTGAAAAATACCTCTGAGGGTCGTTCCTCCCTCTCCCCACTGCCAGGGTTTTTCTGTGTAACCCTGTCTGTCCTGGATCAGGCTGGCTTGGAAACTCACTGAGATCTACCTGCCTCTGTCTCTGAGTACTGGGATTAAAGGAATGTGCCACCACTGCCTAGGAAGTTTCCATTTCTTTTTTTTATCAAATAAATTTATGTATTTATTTTACATCCCAGCTGCAGTTTCCCTTTAAGATGAGTGTGTTACCAGGGAAACGGGTGGGGAGTCCAAAGCTGGTCATTAGGGAGGGTCCATGCTCAGTGGCCTCCAGTACTATTGATTGACTGGTTTCCAAACTGGATAGCTGTGCCATTTTCTTGAAATAAAATGTTTCCGAGGTTGAAAGATGTCTCCCTGTTAGAATTCTTTTGACTGCCTATAAGCAGGCACTGATCCTCCTCTCCTGGGCGAACTACACCCAGGAGGTAACATGTGGGGAAGACTTTTCGGGAGGCTCTTCTCCCCCCTTTTCATTTCCCTTTCCCTTTCCTTTCTCTTCCTTTCCTGGAAGGTCTCTCAATGAACCTGGAGCCTGCTGATTTGGCTAGACTGGTGGGTTGTTCATCAAATTCCAGGGATCCTCTTGTTTCTACCTTCCCAGCACTGAGATGCTGCCATGCTTGTCTGTCTGTCTGTCTGTTTTATGTCTACGCTACAAAATGAGTTCAAGACCAGCCTGGGAATTAAGCATGACCCTGCTCAAAGAGAAAATAAATTGTTGACAAACTTATATGGTGTCAGAATACCTACACTTAAAAATCCATGGAAAAGAGGAGAATTGGAGGAAAAGCCTAGGGTTGGAGGTATAGTTCAGCAGTAAAATGCCTGTCCAGCTGCTAAAAGCAAAGCACTGAAGTGTAAAGCTCTGGGTTTGATGCACATGTGCACACATGCACACACACATCCTGAAACTAAACAGAAACAACACTTCCCGAATAGAAAGCCCAGAAACAAAGTAACACAAAATGTTATCAACTGGTTTTCCACAAAGTTGCACATTTGTACCAGGAATTCAATATGGCAAAGAAAGTCTTTTCAACAAATAATGCTGAACAATTAGGTATCCATTTAGAAAAACCTTGAACCTACTTTTTATTTTATTTATTTATTTTCAGAGGCAGGGTCTCATGTAGGCCAGGCTGACCTCAAAGTTGCTTTATAGTTGGGGAAGACCATGAACTTAATGATTCTCCTGCCTCATATCCTGAGTGCACCACCATCCTCACCCAGTTTTATATAGTACCCAAAGACTTCCTGTGTGTATACAAACAAGCTTGAGGCTAAACTGGGCTGTGAAACCCTGCCTCCAAACAAAACAGAACAGAGGATTTCTAGTAGTCTCCATGTAGTCTTTTTGCCCAGGAGCAGTGATGGTGTCCTGGAGCACCTATTTATTGGAGGAGTGTCCTAAGCCCCTGGATCATTTCAAGTGAAACATGCTTACTTAAACTGAGGTGCTTTGTGGATTATTATTATTTTTTTTTTTTTTTGGTTTTTCGAGACAGGGTTTCTCTGTGTAGCTTTGCGCCTTTCCTGGAACTCACTTGGTAGTCCAGGCTGGCCTCGAACTCACAGAGATCCGCCTGGCTCTGCCTCCCGAGTGCTGGGATTAAAGGCGTGCGCCACCACCGCCCGGCGTTTATTTTTTTTTAAATTGAATCTGTCAGCAATCTTTGACAGTTTTTAGAATAAAACCACTTATGCCTGGCGGTGGTGGCACATACCTTAGTCCGAACACTTAAAGGCAGAAGGCAGGCAGATTTCTCAGTTCAAGGCCAGCTGGTCTACAGAATTAGTTCTAGGACAGCCAGGTCTACACAAAGAAAACCTGCCTGGCAGTTGGTGGTGGTGCCCAGGTGGTGGTGCCCAGGTGGTGGTGGAGGATATATAATCGACGGACCCTTAAGACGTGCACACCTCTGATCCCAGCACTTGGGAGGAAGAGACAGGTGGATCTCTCTCTGTGAGTTTAAGGCCAGCCTGGTCTACAGAGCAAGTTCCAGGACAGGCTCCAAAGTTACACAGAGAAACCCTGTCTTGAAAAACCAGTAAATAATCAAGCTGATGAAAGAAAATGCTGGCAGTACTTTCAGGAGGGGAGGCTAAAATCTTTTTAGATTATGGATTAGCCTATAGAAAAATGTCTGCTGTAAATCAAACAGTGAAGTGGAAGATGAATGGGAATCTCACCTACACAACTTAAGTAAAACATAGCTTTCTGAACAGATGAAGATAGATCTCTTCTGTATCCCAGAATCTAATCAATATTTATATGTATAATTCAGCTTTCATTTGGCTTAAAAGGGCTTATTGGGAAATGTTTTCATTTATACTATTTTCTACAGAGAAAATATTTTACTGTTTAAAATAAATAAATTAAAAAAAAGAAAAGAAAAACCAATAAATAAGCAAACAAACAAATAAATAAAAGGCCCCTTTCAAGGTGAATAGATGGCTCTGTGGTTAAGAGCTATTGTTGCTCTAAAAGTAGCACCTACACAAGGTGGCTTTACGACCACCCATAACTCCAGTCCCAAGGGTTCCATCTCCCTCAGCACCAGTCTCTCTCTCTCTCTCTCTCTCTCTCTCTCTCTCTCTCTCTCTCTCTCTCTCTCTCTCTCTGGCAAAACTCTCATCATGTACATAAAATAAATAAATCTGAAAAAAAAAAAGGCCTTTTCTTTGATAGTACTGAAGGTGTGAGTGGGACAGGAATTAGTGTGTTTCCTTTTACTGAAGATTGGCAATTTTGGACAGTTTCGATGTGCTTTGTACTGCTGATACTACAAAGAGTAACAAAAAATTACATGGTCAGTAGTTCCTTTGTTATTTTTACTTTGTTTTACAATGCGTAATTATTCTTCATAATTATTGCAGGTATTTCATCTTCTAAACCAATGCTTCTAGCCAACGGTGATCATGGAATGGAAGGGAATAACACTACAGGTAAGTGGTCTCTGGGATTCCTCAAATGTAGACATTTCCATAGTAAACATTTTGACAAGCTCCTTGGAGTATTATTATGGAAGTATATGAGTTATTTCTCAGAACCTTGCTGTTCCTGTTGGAAGTATTTTAACCTGGGGCGTCTCTCAACAATAGAAAGAGCAGAGTTTGCTTTCATAGTCCTTGAATGTTTAGTGGAAGGGAATGAACCACATAAGAATTGAATCAATCTTGAACTTTTAAAGATGCAAAAAGGCCATCACCTTGCTATATGAGAAACCTTTCTCTGCTCCCTGCAGTCCTGAGGAGCCAGGTCTCTAACCTGAATGTGCTTTGCACTTAGTTTCCTCTTAAAATCAGTAAGAAACCTTCAACAGCCAGGTGGTGGTGCGCACGCCTTTAATCCCAGCACTCAGAAGGCTGATCTTCGTGAGTTTGAAGCCAGCCTGGTCTACAAAGTGAGTTTCAGGATAGCCAGAGATGTCACACAGAGAAACCTGTCTCAAAAAGCAAAATGAAACAAAAAAAGAAAGAAAGAAATCCACAACAATAAATTAAAGTGCTTTGTTTTCTGTTTTGTCTTCAATTTTTCTATCTTTCCCCTTAACTGTTGCTTTTGGGATTTGTTTGTACCTTTAATTTGTAGCCCAGTACTAGTACTCTTTCAGCACAGAGTTCCCTTAGGGTTTCCCCTCATAACCAGCATGAGCCCTCTCTCCTCCCCTCCCAGTGTGTTTATAATGAGCATTTAAAAATGCCAGTGCCATAGCAGGAATATGCCCACATAGGATGTGTTGTATTTTATAAAACGTCTCTTAGGTAGCTGGTGTGAGAGTCATGCACTATATTCTTGTAAGTAACTGCACTTAATTTGCAGTTATGATCACGCTGACACAGTTGATCCAAATGAGTTTGGCTTTTAGTGCTCAGAGTACATTGTTCTTGTATCAGAAAACTCTCTTAACTCTGGGGTGCAGCATTTTGATTCACATCAGTACATTGGAGGCTAGCACAAGATGTACTTTTTTGTTTCAATTTTTATATAATTGAGCCATGAAAAGCCTTCCCTTTAACTACCATAGAGTCATTCAGTTCTAAAGGTTTCCAAAAGCCTGTTGTTAGCAATAGTTTCTGTAGATGTATCCAACCTTCCCATCAAACAATAAACACAGAACCAATGCAAAGAAGAAAGCCAAGAGGTCAGAGCCAAGAGCCAAAACCTTACCCTTCCTCCTGCAGTGGTCCTACCTCTCCGAACCAGAGCTACCCCTGTGTTAAAGTCTTTATATAGAGTTCCTGTCCTGCCTTCTCATTGGTTGTAAACCCAACCACATGACCGCCTCCTCACAGCCTGTCTGTATAGGCCTCCAGGTTTTCCATGATTGGTATTAAGATTAAAAGCATGTGTATCCAATAATGGCTGTATACCTGAACACACAGAGACTTACCCAGCTCTGCCTACCAAGTGCTGGAATTACAAGCGTACGCTACCACTGCCCTGCTTTCCTATGGCTTGCTAATAGCTCTGACCCCCGGGCAACTTTATTTATTAACATACAAATAACATTTTAATACAACTAAAATATCACCATATTTCCCCTTTTCTATTTTAATAAAAAGGAAAAAAAAGAAAAGGCTTATAACTAATATAAGAAAAACTATATACAAAAGGACAATAACTATATACAATATATACAAGTAATAAATACCTAAACAATGTCTACTCCATTTGTATTTGACAAATTCAGAGAAAATAATTTCATTATCTATCCTATTTTGGTAAGTCCAAAATGTATCCTAATTAATCTTCAACTATAACTAAACTTCAACTATAACTAACTAATCTTCAACTCCCTCAGAGACCCAAGAAGGAAATAATATTAGCTAACAAAAATAAAAACAGGAAGTGCACATAAGCAACCTCCAAAAAATTTGTGAGTTGACAGAAACAGACAGCTGTCTGGACAGTCACCTGAGGTTTCTCCGAAGTGCTGGGGCATCATCTTCAGCCTATAGGCTTAGCATATCTGACAGACTCATTTGTGAAGTAGGATGTACACAAGGTCAACAGTTCAACCTCACATTGAGTGAGAGTAGTCCATGTACCAGAAACACCTGAATTCCACTAGTGTCATGTCATGATTCAGGATTTTAAATTCTGGAAATTGTTGATGGTTTTTTAATTCAGCTGTCCATTCTTCTTGGCTGTGTATATATGGCTTCATCTCAGCATCCCATTCTTCTCCATATCCCTCCATCAAATGCCAGTCTACTATTGAGAGGCGTGAGCTTAGTTACTCTTCAAGAATAACTGTTTCAGCTACTGTTCCATTGCACATCAGAAGCCATCGGCCCACTGCCTGTTCAGCTGCCTTCGAAGAAAAGGGCACTGTACCTTTTTCGAATTGCGAAGGCCACTTCAGGGATGGTGCCATATTGTCCTGGCCTCTGAAGATGCCTTTTGATAAAGCCATAACCACACTTGTTTTGGCAAGAATCAGTAATCCTTTGTTTTATGTCCTGTCTGTCCATTTTGTCCTGTTGATTGGAGGATACTTTGTTGTCCAGTGGCTAACTTTTGCCACAATGAAAGTTAACTCCATATGCAGTTTCTTCAATGCCCATTTTTTCTCTGAAGTAGATTGGTACTGCCAGGAGCCGACATGTCTCGTAGTCATAACAAAAAAGAAAAATTTTCTAAGTTATTAAAACATTTTAAATGCCATATTCTGTAGATCTCTGAAGGGTTTGAAGATAACCTGTCTATCTAAAATATATCTACTCAATCTTGAAAACATACCTAATATAACTACAAGTTCTATTATAATATCTAACTACTAACTTTCATTTCTTTATATCCTAATAATTGGTAATAACATTCAAGGATCAGAAAATTGCATTACATTGTTAGATGAACGGTACAATTAGAAAAATATATATAACATTTTCTAACAATATCAATTTCAATATATATAATTTGTATACAATATAAAACAATCCAATCCAATGTAAAGTATTTACATTTTTCTTTTCTTTCTTTCTTTTTTTTTTTTAATAAGAACCTTAAATCTAATCTCCTTTGCTTAGCCTTTTTCCTAACCCTTGACAACAACTTGTAACCAACCCCCCTAATCAATGAAAATTATCCCAGACCCAAAACCCATTAAAAGACCAAAAAAAACCAAACGCCCCACAAGTTTCTTTAAAATATATGCTTTTATTTCTTTTTAATTAATTAATTAATTAATTAATTTATTTTTTTAAATTTGGAGCTGAGGACCGAACCCAGGGCCTTGCGCTTGCTAGGCAAGCACTCTATCACTGAGCTAAATCCCCAACCCCTTAATTTAATTTTTATATGTGTGTTCTTGTATGAGTTTATGTATACCACGTGTGTGCAGGAGCCTAAGAAGGCCAGAAGAATGTATTAGATGCCCTGGAACTGGAGTTACAGATAATTGTAAGCCATCATGTATGTGCTGGGAACTGAATTTAGGTCCTCAGCGAGAGCATCAAGTGCTTTTAATTGCTAACCCATTTCTCCAGCCTGACTCTTTATTTACTAACCTTAGGAAATGTTGTAAGATGAACTTAGTGGCTCAGGCCTATAATCCTAGCAACTTGGGAGGCGGAGGCAGGAAGAGCACAACTCTATAGAGTGAGTTCCTGGCCACTCTGGGTAATTTATTAAGGCTTTGTTTCAAAATAAAATACCCAGCAATATAGTTTAGTGATAGTTACTTGCCAAACACGTATGAGACCCTACGTTCAACTTCTAGTATCTCCCCCTGAAAAAGAAACATGTACATATCTTTATACCTCACAGAAGTTGAAGTCTAGGTTCTATTTTTTGTGAATGTAACTTTTACTCCATAAAATTATCTTACTTATTAGTAACTCATATATACTGTACTTTGAAAACTAGGAACAATGTCATGTTCAAAAGAATTGACTTTTTTTTTCTTTTTCTTTTTCTTTTTAACTTTGACTGTTGTACTCACATGTTTTGATTATTTCTGCTCTTGCTTTGAGAGGAAATTTATGATTTGTAAGGATTCCTGTGATTAAAGGAAAATTGGCTTAAACATGAGCGTTTATTATTATTTTTTTTTTATAAATATAGTGTTCTTACAGTCTTTTTTTTTTTGTTTGTTTGTTTGTTTTTGTTTTTGTTTTTCGAGACAGGATTTCTCTGTGTAGTTCCCTTTCCTGGAACTCACTCTGTAACCCAGGCTGGCCTAGAACTCACAGAGATCCACCTGGCTCTGCCTCCCGAGTGCTTGGATGTAGATGTATCCAACCTTCTTATTAAATAATAAACACAGAACCAATGCAAAGAAGAAAGCCAAGAGGTCAGAGCTAAGAGCTAAAACCTTACCCTTCCTCCTGCGGTGGTCCTACCTCTCCGAACCAGAGCTACCCCTGTGTTAAAGTCTTTATATAGAGTTCCTGTCCTGCCTTCTCATTGGTTGTAAACCCAACCACATGACCGCCTCCTCACAGCCTGTCTGTATAGGCCTTCAGGTTTTCCATGATTGGTATTAAGATTAAAAGCATGTGTATCCAATAATGGCTGTATCCCTGAACACACAGAGACTTACCCAGCTCTGCCTACCAAGTGCTGGAATTACAAGCGTAAGCTACCACTGCCCTGCTTTCCTATGGCTTGCTAATAGCTCTGACCCCCGGGCAACTTTATTTATTAACATACAAATAATATTTTAATACAAATAAAATATCACCACTTGGATTAAAGGCGTGCGCCACCACCGCCCGGCTTATTATTTTTATTATTATTTTTTTTTGGTTTTTCAAGACAGTTTCTCTGTGTAGTTTTGGTGCCTGTCCTAGAGCTCTCTCTGTACACCAGGCTGGCCTCGAATTCACAGAGATCTATCTGCCTGGCTCTGCCTCCCGAGTGCTGGGATTAAAGGCTTGCGCTGCTGCTGCCGCCGCAGCCACCACCACCACCACCTGGCTAAACATGAGCTTTTAAACAT